GCTTCCCGCTCCAGGCTCCTCAACATCCTTTGAGGAAAGGAGGGTGGAAAAGCAGCCCGGCCGGGCTGGGGTCACGGCGGGGCTGGCACCGGGGCGGCCGGCGTGGAGACAAGTTGGAAAGAAGGGAGCCCCGTTTCCCTCCCTTCCCCTGACACCCGCGTCTCTGAACGCCCCCGGGCTGGGAGGGAGATCCCCGGGAACCGGGGTGTGCACAGCCAGGCCTGGGGCCGTGTTGGGTCTAGAGGGGCTTGAAAAAGCCCCTGGCTTTGGAGGCAGCTCTTGCTGATGGGATGGAAACCCCTGTCACTCTTGCCCCAGGTAATCCTTGGGACAGCATCACAGCTCATCTTTGAAAATCCCTGTAGATCAGAAACTCTCACGTCCCCAGAGGGTGACCCAGAGCAGGAAGTTTGTCTGTTAGACTCTGGTTTCAGTGCGGGTATCAGCGGGGTTTTTATGCAACGATTGTTGAGTGTTGACACCCAGCTGCTTGTACAGACACTTTAGAGACTGCAGAGCTAGAGAGCCATCCCTTTCCTACAGAGCTGCTGTGTGGAGTTGGAAAAGGTTGTAGGAGAGCCATGCATGGGGCAGGAGAGATGCTCAGAGCCCCCTTGTCCCTGGATACCAGAGCATGTGTTGCAGAGGTGGCTTCAAAACCACAAGCAGTTCCTTCCCTTCGGGGCTGCGAGGCTCTCGCCAAGGGTTTCTTTCCAGCTGTGGGTGTTTCTGGGCAGTGTCAGCTCGTGGCACAGCCTGGAGAGGAGCACAGGGGCACTCCGTGGGAATGAATACATCCTTCCTAACAGGTTGTGTGTGAATTAGAGCTAAGCTGGGTTGGATGCCTTCAGGCAGCAGCCCTGGTGCAGCTGTGGATCGAGGGGGGAGATGCCCTGCAATGATTTCCTGCTGTGATCTGCCCGTGGGGACATTGGGTGAATCCAGCAAGGAGAGCTCTCTCATAACACTCCCGTAACGTTAACTGTAAATTGAAAGTAAGCTCCCAAAGTTAGGGCTTTGCAGAGAATTCCACCTTGGCACATCTTTGGTGCTCTAGATGTCAGACCTGCAGGTTGTACCTGTGGGTGTGGCTCAATGGGAACCTTAACAACTCTGTACCAAGGGCTAAATAAATGTGTTTTCTTGAGACTATACTGAATTGTGACATAAATGGGATTATTTTTGCCTTTTTTTTCAGAATTCAGTGTTCTCTCCCAGCCCTGTTCTCCCCAGCTGCTCTCCAAGATTGTGTCCTTTATCCTTTGGGGAAGGAGTTGAGTTTGACCCTTTACCACCAAAGGAAATAAGGTAAATATTGTGTTACAGTCACCTAGCTCTGAAGAAGTTAGCATGTAAAGGAGTAGTTAGGCCTTATCAGTCCCTGTGAGTCAAATTAATTTGTTTGCAAAGCTATTGTTCCATGCAGCTGTACATTCCTGGACATTTTTACAGACTGAAGGAGTGTTCAGCCTCTTTTAATCCCATGTGTGGTGGTTTGTTGTTTTTTTTTTTCCAGGAAGATTTCCCTGTATTTTACTTTCCTGCTTTTACTTCATTGCACTGCTCCAAACTGTTGCCTTTCAACTGATTAACTAGAAGGTCATTGTGAGGGAAGCTCTTCAAAGCAGATATCTTTCTAGGACTGTTTTATTAGGGGGAAGGACTTTTGCATTTCTGTCCTCACGGGTTTGTAGTGAGTACTGTCTTATCAGCTGTGGCTGGTGTTGGCTGGTGTGTGCACTGAAAGAAAAGTTAATATTAAAAGAGTGCACAATGACTATTTTTTAACATGCTGCATCACTTGGCAGCCTGGGAGTTATTCTTTTGAACATCGTGACTTGCAGTAATGAGAAGTGAAGGCTCCCAGCTGATTACTGTGCAAGCAGAGGTAGACTGATAAAATCAAACAGAAGCCTGATGCAGGGGAGAGTAGAGAGTGTTGGTTGCCCTGGCTGGAACCAAAGGCACTTAGCAGTGTGAAGGAGCTAACAGAGCTGTCACAGTGTGAAGATGAAAACTTTGTTTTGCAGGCACAGAGGATTTCCTTGCCAGCAGAGCATGAGGTGTAAATTGTAGTATTTTCCTGCCAGTTGAATCTTCAGAGAGTGCCCCATGCCAGGAGTGATAGCAGGGAACTCCTGTGAGACTCTTGGCAGAGGAGAACTGAGAAAATAATGTGTGCTTCCATGGGCTTGGTGCTCTGAGGAATTAGGATGCTCATGTGCAAACCCTAACTGTGGATTTGGGCTTCTGAGTTTAGGCACTGGAGTCTGAAGGAGGTTCTGAGCTTCATAAAGCTCAGGCTTAAAAGGATGGACACAAAGGTTGAGAAGCTGTTTGGTAGTGCTGGCAGCTGGACCAAGCAGTGACAGCACCAGCTGTGCTGCTAACGTAAGGCTTGTCCTTACCCGAGCGGGACAGTGTCTGCCTGCTGTGGTGGGTCCTGTGCTGAGGTGGCAGCTGCAGGTCTGAGGAGCTGCCCTGATACCCCAGTGCAGCCTCCTACTCCAGAGCAGAGCTCACACACGTGTCTCTTGTATCTCAGGTACACATCCTCAGTTAAATACGACTCAGAGAAGCACTTCATTGATAACGTCTACATGCCAGTGGGCTTGAGCGTGTCATCCTGCAGTCAGACAGTCATCTGTGTCCCCAACTGCACGTGGCGCAACTACAAGACCGAGGTTCACCTCCAGCCCCGCAACAAGCCCCAGCGTTTCACCAGCACCACCATTGTCTACCCAAAGCATGCCAAGACTGTGTACACCACCACGCTGGATTACAACTGTCGGAAGACCGTGCGGAGGTTCCTCTCCAGCGTAGAGCTGGAAACTTCGGAGTGCTTTGGGAATGACTGTGTCCTGGATGGTTGCTGAGTGGCTGTCTCTCTTGCTCTGGTCCATCCCAGTCCCACCTAACGTACTGTGCTAACTCCACTAGCTAAAGTGGGTACAGACCCTCTTTCTCAGCTCTTAATTCCTGCTTTAAGCATCAGAATGGCCTGAACGCAGTTTTTCTGTGGGAACATAACTTAGTAAGGAACTTGTTTCTTCGCCTTTAAAGTCGTGAGTTCCCTCCCCTTCCCTGCAGTGCAGTAATCAGGTGAAAATGAGGGGAAGTATTTTCCCTGAGAAAAAAAGGACAGGTAAGACAGAATGTGGAATAGTGCCTGGCAAGTGAAAATCTGTTTGATGCTTTGTGGTGATGTGCAAAAATAAGGGCAGTCTTGCAGAGAATCGGGCAGGTCATTACAGGAGTCAAAGCTGTCATTCATTTCAGTTTAGATCATAAGACAAGTTTTATCTAGAACAGCCAGCTCCTGGAAACTGCTGGAAAAAGCTAGTAGAGAAAAATCTGGGATTCTGCATTTAACAGCTACAGAAACGTCATGTTGTTAATGTCCAGTTTGAAGGTGTGAGTTGGAAAGAAGAGGAATTCTGAGTAGAATTAGGAGATAAAATGTTCTTGCAGCTCCAGGTGGCAGAGAAAGGATCAGGTTCTTCAGATGAATGGCACAATGTATCTCCTGTACTTAGAATGACTTCTGCTGCACCGTAGTATAAGATGCCAGCATTTGTGTACTACAAGTAGCAGGACTTGTAATGAAGAATATCAGGCCAAAAATTATCCCTGTATTGTTGGAAAGTCAGGTCTTGACAGTGTGGTGGTGGAAAAACACCAGTGCCTCGTTTTTACTGATGTTCTGTCTGCACTAAGGGAGTTGTGACTAGGAAAGTTTCAGAAATTGTTTCATGGATACAGGGACCTAGAGTGGAGAAGGAGACACTGGGATCGGGTGTGAGACGCCGTCATGGTGGAGCTTGTGAAGAGGTAGATGGTAGCAAGGGACGAGCAAATTTTAATTGCATAGCAAACCCCACAGTTGTATCTCTGCTTCTCCACTGAGCTTCTCATTGTGAAGGTCTGTGTCTTCCCTGGACTTTAGGCTGTCACCAGCATGGGGTAGCATTTTCCTCCCTGTAGGCTGCTGTAACCCCTCCAGTCCCAAGCGCATGATGAGTTTGGGGACCAAAGGGAATAACTTCAGGTACTAGGAAAGGCCATCTGGATGTTACGTGTGTTAGTTTATCATGTGCTTTGAGGAAAATAAGACAGAGAGGTTTCTTACTTGACCCAGATCTTTTTTTCTCTGTTGACAGCAGTGCAGTGTGGAGAGCAGCTGCTCTGGGGAGCGTGGCTTACACTGGTGGCTAGTGTGGTGTAGCAGCTCAGAAACTCTTGGTAGACTTGACGTAGCTGGACACGGCTTTTCCATGTATTCCAAAACTCCTCTGAGGTGCAGGTCACCTTCTGGTGCAACAACAGCCCTGGACCTGCTTTTAAAGAGGACTTGGCTGGTGTGTAGCCTCAAGGATGAATTTTGCCAGCAGCGAGTTGGAAACTTGGGAGCCTGTTCTTGAGCTGTACTTAACGCGTGTTTGTGCAGGTGTGATGAATGGTGTGGAAGTGTTCCTAGTCTGAGCTGGAATTACTTGGGAGAGTAAAAATGCAGCAGGAAGGGAAGCTTGAGTTTGTGTGGTTTGGGTTTTTTGTTGTTTTATTTTGGTTTTTTACTTATTTATTAGCTCAGAACGTGATGTCCTTAATCTTTGCTACCTGCCTCAGAAAACCAGATCCTAAACCCAGGGTGACAGAGGATGCTGAAGTCAGGTGGGCATTGCTCCAGAGCTGTTAAGAGCAGCACAGTCTTCTCAACAAACATGTTGGTTTCAAACTACAGTATTTAGGAGATGTGGCTTGAAGACATGTTGCAACTTCCCACTAAACGTTGCCCCAAGATAAACCTGTGGTGTAACAGAAGGCACAACCCAGACCCAAATGTGTGGGGTTTCAAATGGACAGAGCTCTTCTTTGGGGAGCCTCTTGTCTGAAGGCTCACCTCACAGCTTTGGGTGCCACCTGCCACCTGCTCCTGAAACATCTGGTGCTGGCCACTGTTGGACACAGGACACTGGAAGGACACAGACCCTGGGTTGCTCCGACTGCGCTCGTCCAATGAATTCATTTTCAGGAGGTCTGAGGGGAGATGATTTTAATTTGTAATCGCTATTGTCCCTAGTTAAGTTAGAAATTAAATGACCCTTCCACTATGGTTTTAGGATAAAGCACCTGATTTTTGTAAAGCAAACAATTATGTACCTCTTAGAAACAGTTTAATTGGTAGAGTTATCTTTTAAATTATTTATCTTCCAACATTTGCAAAGCTCTGATTGGCTCTGTGCAAGTGTTCTGATGTCTGTGACGTTCTCCCCCCTTCTAATTTTCAATTTGTCTTTTACTTTATTGGTAATAAATGATCTGAAAACTATCATATAGGGAAGTCTCTTTATTTTTCGTTCAAAGCTTTTCAGTGTTTATTATGGTACTTATTTAGTAACAAAACAGGATCCATCCTGCCAGTCCCTGCTCCCCTCTTGTTTCTCTTACATCATGTGGTGCTGTTTACATATTCCAGGAAGGCGTTTCCTATATACAACTGTGTATTTAAAAAAATCCCAACACCAAATGTTGTGGTTTTATCAGTTTAGTGAGGCACTTGAAAAAGCACCTCGAAGACAGCTGAAAATCCTCTCCAGTGTGTATTTGAGTCTTTCATCTGGTATAGTTTTATTTTTAAAGAGAGTTTCTGGTATGGATTTCAGCATATCCTGTAAGTGAAGCATTTCATCCTTTTTCAAATAGAACAAGAATTGAACAAGCCTGGAATTTCTTTTTTACTTCTTGGTTAAAAATGTCAATGCTCAGATGCTACTTTAGTAAATAAAGAAGAAAAATGAGACTAGAATGTGCTACTCATTGAACTTTGTGAAAACAAGTAAGTGGTTGCAACTATTTGAGAGAAATCCTGTAGTGTTTTTCTGGATACTTTGTTTTTTACACCCTTCTGATTTTGCAGACATGCTGATGTTGTTAGTGTCTCTGGCAGAGTAGAAATTAATGCAATTGAACATCAGTTAATTAATTCTTAATGGGATGATTTTTTTCTTTGCTTACTTTTTATTGTTCATCTGGTTATCTGCTTTCAAAAGCTCCAGATTTGCATGTAGTGACATTATTGGAACCCAGGGAGCTTTGCAGCTATTTTGAAGCATGTGGCTGCTCCTGAGGAAGTGTGTGCACGGATTTGGGTGTCATGCAGTGTTTAAAGGATTGAACAGGAGAAAAGCCAAATATAAATAGAAGTTGCTATATAAAATATGGTCTATTTGAAGAGCCATTAAGATAAAACTTTAAAAATCAGAATAGTATCTTTCAGGAGGGCTTCAGGAAAAACTTTCAGGGAGAAATACTTCCAGATACTTCCTTTACTGTGACCTGGGCTGTTTTCCTTTAATATTGTAGAAATGCTCTGTATGACAGATGTTCCTTTATTAGAAGTTGAAGTAGGGGAGTACAGGGCAGCCTGCTGCTTGATGTGATTTTTAATTCATGTTGGCCAAATGGGCTTCTTATTAGTACATACCACGACAAGGATAACCCTGTTGTTATAGCTGTGCTCCATTTTCCTTGTGTGTGTGCTGTGCTTGCTCCAGAATATCAGATCCGAGGGGCCGAGGCAATGAATTTTTATAACAATAAAATATTGTACCTAACATGAGATCACAAGCCAGGAGACCAGGGCTGGATTCCAATCACAATTTTGCAGCTTGCTTGGTTCCAAGTTCTAGGTGAGTTGGTGTGCCTCCACATCACCTCAGTTCCAAACCAGGTTATCCTTCAGCTGCCCGTGCTCAGCTTCCCCACCTGTGGATGTGTGTGCTGGTGTCAGGACAAGCAGTTCACAACCTGAGAAGCTCAGGTGTCATGCAGTGAGTATTGTTTTGAAATACACTTAATAGCAATAAGTAGGGATACTCCAGGGCAACTAGACAGTATGGAAAGGAGCACTTTTAACTGTTGAATTAGTCTTGAGTTGCATCCATATTTTAACTAACAGCTTGCTTTTTAAAATATAAATGTCCAGCTCTCCACACAGATAGAAGACAGTGAGTAATTAGTACTAAGCTACAAAACTTGTTGAAATATTTTGGGTGAGACCACTGGTTGCAGCTCAGAGACTGTGCTGGCATGTTCAGTACTCAGGACCAGCTCACCCTTGCTCCTCTGGAAAACCACTGCAACAATCTTCCTTTACACACTGTGTGATTGTTGCTCGGGGACGATGCCCTGTGGTGCAGTCATGAGGAATGCCTGACAGTTGGGCATGGCTCAGTGCCCAAATGTTGCTGGATATACAATTCATACCGTTTCCTTCTGTTCACCTTGTAGATCTGGAGCCTTTCTTCCTCTGCCACAGGATCATCAAGCACCCCATCCCATCGAAGGCTGTTGTTGAGCTGAGCAGAAAGACCTTGATCTGTTTGACCGCAGTCCAAAATGGTGGAGGTTGATACTACAACCTTGTTTATTTCTGCATCTGACTGATTCTCTTCTGCCTTATGTTGGGCTGAGTCAGGGTTCCTCCCAGGACTTGGGATATCAGGCAATGGAGGGGAACTGGCCTGCTGCTTTCTGGTTTTGTGGTGGTTTTTATCTGTTAAAATGATAAATGCTGTTGGCAAAAATGTCTGTGTTGCCTCTAAGGGTTTCTTGCTTGTTTCATAAAGAGGACTCTGAGGTAAGTGCTTGCTGAGCTTTTACGTGCCCATTAATAAGAAACAAAATCTGTAAGAAAATATTAATGACCTAAAAATCTTATTTTAAAGAGAGAAATCCATATTTGATTGGCTATCATAATGATTCTCACACCCGTAAAATGTATTTATTGAGGCTGTTAATGCATTAATAGCTCTTCTGCACTGCCATCAAGTTCTCTGTGCTTGCCAAACACAATTTAGGCAGGAAATTGATTCTT